TCCCCGTGTGCGGAGGAGGGGCTCTGGTTTGCTTTGCAGACAGGGCAGAGGGTGGAGGAGAAAGGAGAGAGCTGGGGAGGCCGAGCTGGGCTGCCCAGGAAATGAGGGAGCACTGCCAGGAGAGGAAGGAAGAACAAGATAGACTGCTGGTTGGGCTGGGAGAGTTGGAGCTAGAAAGAGACAGACAGGCAGGAACAGAAAGAGACACAGAGACAGAGACAGAGAGAGACAGAGAGGGATAATCTGGGGCAAAGAAGAAAGAGCCACGGCCACCTGGTCCATAGGTTGGGGCCCCAGGCCCATGGTATACAGAGGCCCGTGGGATGCTTTAAATTTAATTTATTTTAAAATCACAATAAACAATTTAGTATAACAATAATTAATATACAGATGGATTGTATCAGTCTGTATACCAACACAACTATGAAATATAATTTTTAATGTTTTTTTATGGAGGAAGAGGCCCACAGAGAGGAAAGCCCCTGGGATCCACTGAAGTTGCAGTGAAGCCCTGCAGACAGCCATGGAGATGTGGAAGCTGCCATAAAGAAATGTGTTTTAGAGGAACAGAGATGTTGAAGAGGTTGTTCAATACCTATGTAGTATAACTGCCAACAATGTCTAATCTGAATCTAATTATGGGGGGAGAATCACATAAATACAAACAAAGGGGCACTCCAAAAAACAACAGGCCTGAGCTCCTCAATAGCAACCTGAACTGCAGTTTAGGGGATTGTTCATCAGTAGTGTGAGCTCTGTGACAGGTAGGGGAGATTGGAGAAACATGACAACTAAATGCAGGACAAGCTCCTCGATTGGATATAGAGAGAAAAAATAAGGAGAAAAAGGACAAATTCGAATATGAACTGTAACAGAATTATATTAATGTTAATTTCTTGAGGGAGATCATTATACCATGTTATATAGGAGTATATTCTTATTCTCAGGAGATACTTGCTGAAATATTAAGAGGTGAAATATTGTGATGTCTGGAACCAATTCTTAAATGGTTCGGCCACTACATATGCATAAATTCATATATACCTATATATGCAGGCAGAGAGAGATTAGTGAATCTAGATGAAGGGTATATGAGTTTTCATCAGGCTTTTCTTATAACTTTTCTGTAAGATTGATTTTTTTCAAAATTAAAGGTTGAGAAAAATAAGATGAGATAGTTTGAACTGGAAAAAAAAAGAAAGAATTTTCAAGAGTCGTGGGGAGTTCTTCTGTGAGAACAAACCCAGCTCAAGACAGCTTTACTCTTCAATGCTTTTGGAGTTGAACTCAGGGAGTTTGTTTTTGAAGCATCCATTAGCTCTAAGGCATGATGAGGGTAGCTTACAATGGCCCTTGTTCATCTGGAGTATATCCACATTGAGCTTTATTTAAAAATCAAGGTGGAGATTTAATGGAGCAATGGGCCCCATGGTTACGTTTTTAGCATAGGTAGGTTCTGAAAGACATGTTGAAGTTGATATCTTTGATGTCTAAAAAGTGCTTTAGTGCAACCCTTGGGATATATAATTGTAGGATGAATAAGCCTTTTGGCTGTGAAGAAGGATGAAATGAACCCCTTGGGACTTCAGAAAAGAAGCCCCAGATAAGAAATATTCCATCTGATGCAAAGAAAGGAAGTGCTTTCTGAAAGGAAAGGGACCTGGACTAAGATTGAAAGTCATAAAACCAGACTGGTTTTATCAGGAAGAACTTAGGGTGACAGACACCAAGTGGGCTAGAAGGGAATGTGCTTAAAAATGGCAGGGAGCATCTGAATCGAAGCCTGGGTTCAGGATCACAGAGCTAAGGATTCGAGGGTGAGGGCTGGCTTTGGAATAGCAAGCTACCGAGTCTCACACGCCTGAGGATCCAGCTACTCTGGCACAGAGTTGTCATTTGGGGAAGCAATGCTCAGCATCTGGATGTAGACAAAGATCCAGTGTAGTTGCCATCCGGGACAATGTAGAACATCAAGACACACTTTTGCAAGACTGTGCAGGAACAGTCTGCTACAGTGACCCCCTGTGGCAGTGTCAGCAAGAGGCAGGACAGAATCAGAAGCCTGCAGGCAGAGGCAGAGCTGCACCTGTCCCTCCCAACCCCACCAGCAGAGTGGAAACTCCCAGGACTCCTCTCCTCCCTTTGGCAATTTGGGTGTCGTATTAGGGTAGAAAAGGCCCCCAAAAGGATTCTACATTTTCTACTAATGATTCAGGAAATCTGAATAATAACCTAGGATTATAAAAGGTGATAGCATATTTGTACCCTGAGCTGGTAGAGTAGTTTATGTGAGCTATATGTCATGTTGATATTTAAAGTGGCATCATTTGGCATGACTTTTGGAAATAACTATCCTTTCCTCAACAACTACATTTGTTTTTTGTCTGGGCTCCTCAGCATCTGTCTTTCTTTCAGTCCTGATTCACTTTCCCCAGCTCTGTTGTGGAGTAGGCATGCTTCTCAATCAACCTTCAGCATTACTTCCAGACTGTGATCAGGACATATAACAGGGAGACTGCAACTGAGAATCAAACTAGTATAAGCTAAGGATAAGTATTTTCATCAAGGGGAAGAATTGGTATTGTTTTCTGGAGCAAAGCAGTTCAGCATGAACTTACCTCATTTCCTCCAGCTCTGTTTAATTTGGAGTATCTGTGGCATGCCACGTGCAACACTACCTTATGGGATGCAATGGCAGGTACGTAAGACTCTGCCACTAAAGGCAGCAGGGCTGTCAGCAGGAATGAAACACCTACCAGAGAGCTTATTGCCTCGTTTTTCAGTTTTGGTTGAATAATTAGAATTTTTGCAAAGTTCTTTCTCATAATGAGCTAAATTCAGCCTCCCTGAAATGTGCAAAGACCTTTTCAGGAAGAATGCAGAAGAAATCTCTCTCTTTCATGTAACTGACTTCAAATATTTACAGGTCATTGTCCTATATGCTGTAATGACTGTCCACCCCGTATGATGTCAGGCCTTCATTTCCTACAGCTTGTTCTACTTTCCGTTCCATCATCCTGGTCTTAGATTCTAAGATACACGAATGGAGGAAATTTAACCAGCCCTAGCCCAGGAAACGGTCAACTCAGCAATAGCTCATATGATAATCTTGTTCTAGGTAAACACTTTAATAACACTGTGCTCAGAATCCCCAAGTAAACACCAACACAAGCTATCAACAGGGAGTTCAAGTCTAGGGCAGCATCCCATGGCACACCTGAAACTGACACCAGAGCGGTGCAGACCACCACCCCTGCTCAGCAGAGAGTTCTTGACCTCGGTGCAAGAAGGAATTCAAATGCAGGGGCATGCGCAAAGTCAAAACAGTTATCAGAGAGAGTACAGAAAGCACCGCGCACTCTCAGAGATGGTAGAGAGTGGACTGCTCCAAAGGAGGCGGCAGCCTACATGGCTTTTCATTTTTTATACTAACCACCAATAATATGCCAAGCTGGGGGTGGATATTCATGGTTTTTCTGGGAAAGAGGTGGAGAGTTTCTAGAACTGAGGGTCCTTCCCTTTCAGTCTATATAGGGTAATTTCTGGGGGTTGTCATGGTATTTGTGAACTGCCAGGGTGCTGGTGGGTGTTTTTATCATGCTAATGAGGCCAGCCATGTCAGGGACACTTCAACTGTGCACATGCTCCAAGAAAGGAATTCCCCTTCTGCTTCAGATAAGGGTGTTATGGTTGAAGTAGAGTAACTAAAGGGCCCCTATTGGCTACATTTATTTTAGCTAAGCATACTCACATTCTTGTGGCTTTCTTATTCTGATGGCTTTCTTCTGGCCCCTGCTCTACCTGCCTGCAGGGTGTCTGACTCCTGTCTCAAAACCATTCAAAAAATATCTTACATCAATAGTTCCATTGTCTTTAAATATACTCAAGTGCCAAGGTTTGTCGATAATAAAATCAATGCATTATGCCCTTGGCCATCTATATACCAAATATCCCCATAGCACTTGAAATTTATTGTGAAATGTCATAAGCAAAAAGTACACCTAACATATACATACTGTTTGAAAAATAACAATAAACAGGCACTTATACATCCCACCCCTAAGCTGAAGAAATAGAACAGTGCCATGTATCTTGATGCTTATGGGTACTACTGTTCCATGATTTCAATTACCAACTTCCCCAACAGGTAATTGCTACCTGGATTTAGTGTTTATCATTAATTTTCCTTCATTTACATTTTTATCACATATGTATGTATGTATCCTGAAACAATATTGTCAACTTTTTCTTTTTCAAAATTTATATAAATGGAATCATAATACCTATGTGTTATTACATGATTTCGTTTTTTCCTCACTACAAAATATTTTTAGATTCATTCACACAGATACTTGTGGTGATATTTCATTCATTTTCACATACAATTTTTAATATAGATTTAGCTTTTTGCTTGTATCAGTTCTTTACTATCATGACTAAGGCCACGAATGGCGTCGCACACGTGCTACGCAGGGCAAGAGTTTCTCTAGGAAATGTACCTGGGGGTAGAGTTGCTGGTTAGTGTGCATTTTCACCTTGAAATTTATTAAATAATATGAAAAGATCAATTGTTGTCAAAACAATGATTGTACCAATTTACAGCCTAATAGCAGAGCTTAAAGGTTTCTGTTCCCCAACAACCTAGCCAAACTTTGGTATTTCAAATTTATGCTACCGCGGCTGACGTAAAATGGCGTCTTCTTGTGGTTTTACTTTGGTTACTAAAGAGCCAAGCTTTTGGTGGTTCCTCTTCCGTAAAATCCCTGTTCGTGTGTGTTTCTCATTCTTCAGTTGGGTTGCTTGTTTTCTCATTGATTTTTAGAAGTTCTGCATATATTCTGGGTACTGACCTTTTGACAATGATAAATGTTGAAATGCCTTTTTCCAGCTTGTTTCCTTATTCTTGTTGTAGTGTCTTTTAATAAATAGAAGATCTTAATTTAGGTATATTTGAGTTTACTAAAATTTTCCTCATGATGTGTGTTGTCTTCTTTAAAAATTAAAGTCTTGAGTTTCGCGCCAATCTTGGTCGGGCTTCTGAGAGGCGCGAGTGAGCTGGGTGGTTTTTGCTGGTGCCACCATGGTTCGTACGCTGAACTGCATCGTCGCTGTGTCCCAGAACATGGGCATTGGCAAGAACGGGGACCTGCCCTGGCCCCCACTCAGGAATGAATTCAGGTATTTCCAGAAAATGACCACCACCTCTTCAGTAGAAGGCAAACAGAATCTGGTGATTATGGGCAGGAAGACCTGGTTCTCCATTCCCGAGAAGAGTCGACCTTTAAAGGACAGAATTAATGTAGTTCTTAGTAGAGAACTCAAGGAACCTCCACAAGGAGCCCATTTTGTTGCTAAAAGTCTGGATGATGCCTTAAAACTTATTGAACAACCAGAATTAGCAAATAAAGTAGACATGGTTTGGATAGTGGGAGGCAGTGCTGTTTATAAGGAAGCCATGAATCAACCAGGCCATCTTAAACTGTTTGTGACAAGGATCATGCAGGACTTTGAAAGTGACACATTTTTTCCAGAAATTGATTTGAAGAAATATAAACTTCTCCCAGAATACCCAGGTGTTCTTTCCGATGTCCAGGAGGAGAAAGGCATTAAGTACAAATTTGAAGTATATGAAAAGAATGATTAATATCTTTGGTGTTTTCTGATTTATTTCAAGTTGTTCCCCCTCCCTTAAAAACAATTATACATTTTTACATTTAAAAAAAAATTAAAAAAAAAATTAAAGTCTTTCTAAGTTCTAGATCCTAAAGAGTTTGTCTTAGATTTTTCTGTTAATAATAAGCACATGCCTCAGTACCACATATCACACACTGTATCCTCTCCTTGCTGAGCTGTGACGGCAGCTCCAACATGTCCACGCTCAGCGTGTGCGCAGGTCCACTGCTGGCCTCTGCGTTCTCCCCTGTGTGTCCCTGCCCCAACGTCACGCTGGCTTAATCACCAGTTGCTGATTCCCAGAAAGCCACGTCCTCTCTCTACCCCCATGACCACTTACTCTTGGTACTTTGGCTGTTTAGGGGTCTCTGCTTTTCCATATTAATAGAATCAGTTTAGCCAGTTCCATGTAAAACCTATCAGGGTTATGCTTGCAAAGTTCATTGACTCACCAGTTTGGGAAGAATTAACATCTTTACAATATTGAGTCTTCCTGTCAACAAACACGGAACACCTTCAAATGTCTTTCAAGAAAGTTGTATACTTTTTTCCCATAAAGGACTTGGACAACTTTTGCTGGATTTATTCCAAGACCTTGAATCTTTTGGTGCTTAAAATAAATGGTATCGTTTTCAATGTTGCATTTCCCAAGTGTTCTTGGATCTTTATCTTGGAGAATTCCCGTGACTTAAGAGTTGTTCCCAGTGAGAGATTACATGTTCTGCCGGCACCTGGGGGCACTCTCAAGCCGGGGCCACTTTAAACCAGATTTTCTAGTTGGGAAAATTTCAGGCCACACACGTAGTTGGAATTCTGGCTTCAAGTTGTGCATGTGCTGCCTGGTGATTAAGACTTCAGAGAGACTTCTGCACCCCACCCCGCAGCCCTGAGGCAGACACGCGGCAGTATCTGATGAGAACTTTCTCCAGGCTTGGGCCCCATGCTTGCCTCTGTACACACACACGTTAGCCTGTTGAAGTCCAGATCTGGGCCGCCAAACAAGGCAGATGTCCTCAAAGGAACATGGCTGTTACACCACCTGGTTGCGTGCAATCCTGCTTTCTGGTTTGCATCATCTTCTTTTATCCTCAGCTCAGCCAAGTTTAACAATGATACTTTCTCGTCATTTAAAAAATAAATCTAAAATAAATCTAGTATTTTTAGGCATTTTGTTTTAGGAGGAGTTTTTCAGTTCATCTACTCTGCCATACTGCCAGAAGTAGAAGTACTCCCTCTTTTTTTATACAGAAAAAATAAAAAGAAATGAGATTATTTGATATAACTCTTTCTTAATGAATTCATGTTTATACCACATTCTCTTCAACTGCTCACAAACATTGCCTTAAATTATAATTGTAAAATTGTATGTTAAAGTTGCCAACCTGTACTTTCTATTTCTATCCTTTGCTTTCCCCCTTTGAAACGGAGACATTTGCTTTCCTCCAGTCTTGGCATCTCTCCCAGGCGCTGTGCTTTTCACATAATTACCACGGTCACTCTGATGTCACACCTGCCTCCTCTTCTGCAATACCCTCGGCATGGTGCATGGGAGCCTGGAGGCTGGAAATACAAACAGTGCTCTCTTAACATCTCTTCAGATAATTTGGACAATTCCTTCAACTTTTCCATTTTGAAGTTTGGTATTAGAGTTCAAGGGAAGCATGAAAAAATATAGGAAAGACTGAAATTTGAGTAGAATTTCAAATCCAGAACAGAAGTGTTTGACCACTCCAGAGTTCTAGATTGTAGGACAAGCCCCAGATGCTCTTTGGTGCAAAAGCCCTGGGGGGAGGAGGGGGAGAGAGAGAAAACCAAATATCTGCATTTTAACAGATCCCCATGTGGTTTGATGAAAGCTTGAGGACTCTTGTTCTAAAAAGATGAAAATAATGAAATTCCAGGAAAGTGGAAATCACATTGCTTGTATCTATGAAAGCGCGCCCTCTCTCCATAGACAGCTCTGCCTCCTCCACACCTTCCTGTCACTTAGGGTGTTGACAGCCCCAGAGAAAGAAAGAATGAATCTGCAGAGGCACAGACTGTGCTCTTGCTACCGCGCTGGGGACCCACACAGACTATGGCGTTTAAACTTCACAGCACTTAGAAGGTGGGTTTCTCCTACCCATGTGTGAACAGATCACATGTGGGGTCAAATAGTTTGCACAAATCACACGGCCAGCATCACAGTAAAAACAGGACTTAATTCTTCTCTGCACCACTTCCATTACTAACTGTCATTAACATTCTAAGCTAGTGCAAAAATTGTAAGCAATTCTTTTTTTCTGATCAATTGCATTCTTTTGATGTAAGAAGCCTAAATTTCTTCTGATAGTAGCAAAATATCTACTAGATAGTGGAGATGTATGAGGTAGAATCCATCTCTCCAAACCTTCTTGTCTTCTATTCACCTCTTCAACAGCCATATCCAAGGAATGATAGAAAAATCGGCAAAAGTCGACATTTTCAAAGGATGCTTGAAATGGAACGAGGCACCTCTGCCCGGTGACAAAGACATGCCCTGTGAGCTAATGCAGACCCCCACCCCCACCCCCACCCTCCATCGCTTCCCCTGTGCTGAAGAGGCCCAGTTGTAACCTAAAGCAACTCAAACTAAGTTCTTCATCACACAGAGTTCTAAACCATTCTCAACAGAAGTTGTACCGTGCCTGTAATTGAAAAATAAAATATCTAATGGCTATGCATTGTTACTCAGTTTAATTCACATTTAAACGTTTTTGATTTTGAGGTTTTCCTAGTAGCAAGTGGAAACACTACTATATAAATGAAAGTAAACGATGTTCTCCAGTGCCGTGTTAGATGGGGCATGGAGCATGTTAGGATCTAGGGGAGTAGCTATGTTTTAACCATTATGAAATTACTTTTATTTCTTTCAAAGTTCCTTTCTCATCTTTTGCAGTCATTCATATCCTTGATTTGCATCACCAGAATTTCTTTTAATCCATCTCAAAAAATTCCTGAAACCACACTAATTTGAGTTAATGTTATTTAGAAAACTAAATGTATGACCTTGCAAAAGGTGATACTCTGCAATATTAAAACAATAGATATGGCAACCTCCATTGTATTCAAACCAATGGTTTCCTTATGTTTTGTTTCAAGTATAATAATAAAAGCTGATAAATATCTGGCAGATTTCTTCCTTCTGTTGAGGAACTTGCTTCCTCTGTTGTTTTGTTTATACTGGGTTTTGCCATGTATCTGATGCTAGTTAACTGAATTGAGATTCATTATATTTATATTTTAACTTTATTAAAGCATTGATTTTACACATGGATCTTTCTTATGTCCTATTGGAAAATTAGCCATTGGGCATAATCATTTTGTCCTTGTTAGTCTCTTAACAGACTTACTCTGTGCCTTCCTCACTGATGTTTTCGTGGATGTTGTTTGTTACCATGCTGAATACTGTACTCAGAAGATAAGTAGGACCTCTTCCATTATGCCATTTGGGGAAGTAGGCCTGACTCTTGTGTTTTTGTTTAAAACTTTTATTAATTTTAACTACTTGGTTTTAAAAATAATCTAACTTGGCTGTCATTTTATCAGAATCCTAGGCCCCAGTGGAGTGAAACGGAAGTTTTAAATCACAAGTGGACACTCACAATTTAAGAGAAAACTTACTAGTTTCCTTTCCATGTCTAATCTCCAAACCTTATCAAAAATTTCTTCTTTCATAACGCTTCGCCTCTGTAAATTTCCCTAAGGACTCACTCTAGCCATCCGACCTCTTTTGGCACCTCTGTTGTTAGGTAAAGCCATTTCCACCTTACCTTGTGATGCCTGGGAAAAGGAACCCCAATAAACCTCCCTCTCCAGGCCCTTCTATGCTGAGTAACGGCCTTCTACCCAGGCATATGACTCATGAGGAGTATATATTACTCACTTCTGTGGTCGTCAGAGCAGAGTAAGTGTTCAACATCAGTGAAACAAGCTAAAGCATTTATGATGAATAGAATTTGACTTGTCAAGTTATGCATCAGAACCTTGTGAAAAATAAAGGCTGATGTATTCTAGGACACATTTTACCTTCTTTTTAACCTAGCCTAGTGGATAGCCCCATCTCCCCTCTTCCCTCTCCTTTCCTCTGACATTCGCAGATGAGACCACTGCACACAGACTCTGAGATGGGTCCTGTCTCTGGACAGAGGTAACAGCATGCTTCTCGGGTCTCTGAGTCACGTTAGGATGGTTTTGCTACTTTTTCTTCTCTGACTTGGTGACTCAATTCCTGCAATCAGATCCTTGAACTGTGACTAAACTTCCACTCTGCACCCTCTTGTGGCAAAACCATCTCTTTAGTTAGTTCCCTCATTGACCCTTTTGTTATTGTTTGACCTGGACCTTCCTTCCTTCCACCACCCATTCCCACCCCAATTCTGCCTTGCTCTCCACATGTTTCCTCCACTTTTTCCTTCTTGATATGTCTTGAGTGGCTGAATAGCCCAAGTCATGATGCTCATTTGCCTAAATGCCTATTCAGTACTGTATTCTAAATGTGATAAAATTATACAATAAAACAAACATTGTATAATATTATTAAGAACATGTACTACCCTCCCTCTTCCACTCTCTCATAAAGAGTATGTTCCATAAAGGTGACGGATTTCAGCTAATGGTCAAGGAGTCAATGGTCAAGGAGTCAATGTGCGTCAAGCCTGTGGACCTATCTTCAGACCTATCTTGCTTAGCTTGAGATTTAGTTTTTACTGAAACATGACTTAAGTTCTTGAACAAAAATTCCAAGCCAGTTATAACATGACTTCTTTTAAGTTGGATCCTTAGAGCCTTGTTCGACTAATGAAGAAAGAATATTACCGAAACATCTTGGATTAATTCAAATGGATGGCCATAGCATGTGACCCTTCTGAGCACATGCTATGGAGACATGCCACTCTGATCACCCTACAAAAGGACCTGCTGCAAGGTACATGGTGAGCCATCATACCTTCAGA